CTCTCTCTCTCTCTCTCTCTCTCTCTCTCTCTCTCTCTCTTTCTCTCTCTCTCTCTCTCTCTCATTCGTATACTAACATAGAAGAGTTTCACCGCGCGAAACCAAAGTATCTTTAGCACTTAACCTAACCATCTTACCTCTTCGCTATTTATTTAAATCTCTTCTAAAGATGTAATTTCCTAAAAATAATGTTAATTTTTTAATCAGTTCATTTTTTTAGTGCACCTTTTTTCATATGCCCCATTTTTTAATGCTTCTCCTCTTTCAAGATATTAGATTTTTCGTTGATCGAATTTAAACAAACGAACTATCTTCAAACTTCTCTATCCGTTTCTTATTCAAAACAGACTTCATTCATTTTTATTCGCGTTGTTTCATTTTCGCATTTTATATTCTTTAATTCCGTTTATTTCTCATCAATCTCTTTTTTTCATTCAATTTTTCCTTCAGCATTCATTCATTCACACTAGCTTCTTGTCACTCACAATCATCTTCTTTTCATTTAATAGTCCTGCAATACACAGAGTTATTATACATGACCGAAAATATCTTAGACACAATTAATACAATTACAAATCGTATCGCGTTTGTCTGTGTTTCTTCCCTCATTCTTCTCTCTATTCTTCGTGAATTGTTTGATAATACTCATATACGCTTTATGTTCATACTCATAGTATTCCTTCTGTTTCATGATCTCCTTATGCTCTACCACTATACTTCCCCACTGTTCATCTCGATCTTATTGTACGCGAGTATCATAAAACACTTATATTCACTTATCATACCTCGTACAACGTTACAGCATCTTCTAGAAGGTTCCTTAGAGTTTCTCTTAGGTACTTACATTTCTATCTATGTATATCCACCTATCTATATTTATAAACTTTTTTTTATTTATATATAATAATTCTTTTAAATCTCCCATCCCCAGTCACCCCATGATCCTTCATTCTTTTTTTCTTATCTTCATCTTTCCTCTCTTCGTCGATCTATTTATCTGCCTATCTAAGATGTCTATCTAACAGTCTAGCTATCCATCTATCTATCTAAACTTCTAACTACCATTTATTAGTTTTTTTTTTCCTCTCTTACAATATCCACTTTTCCTACCTCGTATCTTTATGTCGTTCATATTTTCTTTTTTCTCATTCTTTTAATTACACTCGTCCATTGTTCGTCTTTAACAGTTCAAATCAACAGATATTTCGATATCTCTCGACTCTTTTTTCAACTCCTTTTTTTCACTCAAATTTAATAAAACAACGCGGATACATTGCACTCTTTTTTTCTTCTCGCGCACGATCGTTCGCTTTTACGTATCTAGTATTTAATGTACGTGTATTATATCTACAGTGTTTCGTTGGTCGCCGGGATGGAAACGCGCGAAACGCTTATCGCGATTGCGAGGATCGATCATTTCATCAACTCGATTGTTCCTATCCTTTCTCCACATTTCTCATTTCCCCCTCCTCTTCTCTTCATGATCAATTTCGTCGTTGACCGGCTCCTTGACGATCGGTTCGCTCGGATCGCACGAAAATATACGAAAGCTGTCACGAAGAGAGAAAAAGATCGCATAAATATATAGCTCTAAGATTTGCCGATTTCTCGAGGAACGGGACAATCGAGCAAAACGTGGGCTCGTTTTTGGTCGCCGGGAAATCACGCAACGACACTTCCTTGTCGTTTTAACGAGAGAAGAGCGTCGTTGAAACCGTGTAACGAGCACCGTTTTTTTTTTTTCTCGTATCCTCGTTCTTATCATTTTCGCCTACATTTACAAAGAAAAGAAAAAAGTTTGTCGAGAAAAAAGAGCGGTCGGGGGCGTCCTTTGTTTTTTGGGGCGCCGCACGATACCTCGCAGTATATGGCTATCAAAAAGACATCTGGCTTCTCATTTATCTTCGTTATCCTAAATCCTTGTAAATGCTGCATATATATATTTACTTTATTTATAATTATCCGTGAACATGGTAACAAATAATGAAACACTGACAAAAATTGCACAATATACAAACTTAATGTTCTGCTTTCGCTTTCTCTCTCTTTCTTGTTCTCTTTCTCTCTCTCTCTCTCTCTCTCTCTCTCTCTCTCTCTCTCTCTCTCTCTCAAACTATTTATCCTCTCTCTCTCACACGCATACTTTTTCTCTTTTTCTTTTGCTTTCTCCCTGGTGCTAGATTCGTTATTTTTTCTCTTTCTTTCTTTTTCTATCTCTATCTTTCTCTCTCTTTCTTTCTTTTTCTTTTTCTCTTCCTTTCCACCTATTTATGTATGTATATTCTTTTCAAAACCCTTAATCCATCTTAACTTGTTTTATTATAATCCTTAAAAATCAATTTTTCTATTTTTGGAACGCATTTTTATCTCGCAGGGAAAAAGAATCATTCATACTCACTTCAATCTGCACTTATGCAAAATTTACGCAAATAAAAGAGATAAAAAGAAATATTATATAGAGAAAAAGAAGAAATTACACAGGTGCCACAGACATTGAATTAACACGCACACATTCACACGCAGCTACACGCGCGCAAACCGCGTCGACGCTTTCATGTCAGTCAGGCTTACTTGGTAGGTACGGTTTATCTTTACGTTCTACGTGCGTTATCAGTTAATTTATTTGGCCACTGAACATTTAAAATTTAGTTTCTTTTTTTTTCTTTTCCTTTCTTCCTTTTTTCCCATTTTTATTCTTTAAATCTTCGTGTTTCGCCCGCAATTCGGGTGTTCTTGCAGGCCGTTCCCGCGCCCTCAGGTAAAGATTAATCTTCTTAAACAGTAAAATTCCTTTCTTCCATTTGTTCTGCTTCTCTTATCCTTTTGTAATTTAATCGTAATTAATATTACGTTATTATTCTATTTATCTTTTTTTTATTTTCTCTGTTTTTACTACTCTATTATTTTGTTCACCATTCGTTCGATGAGCGATCTATGATCCTTCAATTCGTTTCAGTCCATGGATACAACATATATTATCCAGATAATCACTATCTCTTTTTCTCTCATTACCTTTCCTTGTTGTCACTTCATTTTCATTTAACACATTCCACTAATTTTCTCTTCTCCTTTTTTTTTGTTTCTTTATTTCTCTTATTTCTTCTTTCCTTCATTTTATTTATCCCTTTATTGTTATTTCCCTACGTGATTTCGATTCAGGCTTGTCCTCGGTTGAATAATCGATGATTAGCGAGACAACGATGCACGTCGACCGGAAGTTCGTTGCGTTCCCAAGAGGCACACACACTCACATACTCATGTATAATAATAGTCGTGAACGATTCGTGGTCGTCTGCCGTCCATAGTTTTGCGCGCGTATAAGAAGGAGTGGCGTGCCCGACAGGTCGACGTGTGGAAACGGTTCTAGAGCTTTGTGCGGAATGTTGCCCGTTTTATACTTTATATAATCCCTTATGTATAATAATATATTGTTTTGGTAAGTAAGACGAGAATATTAAAAAATATATATATTATTTATTTCTGTTGAGCCTCCGACATAGAATCTTGTCCGCCACATCGGGATATCTCGCCACTCCCACTCTTGCGGCGCGCAGTCACGCGTGAAACAAAGATGAGAACGTTATCTAGAAAGCAATCGTACAAAAGTACAAAGTCAGATTCCCGTATATATCTTATTTATTTATTTTTTATTATTCTTATTCCCCTTATTTTCATTAAAAACCATATTACGCGCGTTACTACGAAAGAAGCCCCATGTTCGGTCGAATTATTTTTTAAGGAAAAAAGGTAATTCTCGATGCCTTGTTCCTATCAAAGGTTTTTTTTTTCTTTCTTTCTTTTTGTGTATAATATAAGCGGTTTTCTCTTTCTTCCTTAAAAATCATTCGTGAATTATTTATTGATCGATAAAACGGTCGAATTCTCGGTATTGAAAAGGAATCCCTTCTTGTTTATTCGCGGAAAATGATAGGAAACGATGTTACGATGGAAAAAAGTAAAAGGGCGGCGAATCGTGTGAGTCGAATGGAGGCGGCCTCGCGATATAATTCGCACTGTAAATTCGGGATTAACGCCGCGGCACGGGTAAAGTTTGCCTCCGTCGAAACTGGCCGAAATCACGTATTCAATTACATTGGCTCGTCCTCGTCGTGTGTCCTCGTCCGCCGCCCTTTACAATAGGCACACACACACGTACATACTGTGTGACACCGTTCTACCGGCTCGCGAATATATTTTCGATTATTGCTCGTAGGATTCGAGGCTCAAAAGCGTCGCGTACGTTTCTTACCCATTAGAATTAGCTTTTTTTCTTGTGGCCCCCATTTTCAGGGATACTAGAGGGGAGGGAGAAGATTAGTGTATGTGATAAATGTTCATAAGAAAGAATAGAAAGAAAGAAAAATGAAAGAGAAAAGGAAATAATGTTTTGGCACCGATAGACAGAATATTATTGTCCTCTCGAACCGGGTTTTCTCGACTTTCGAATCGACGCCTTTGAAACATTGCCAAATCGGTGTTTCTCGAATCAATAACTATAAGTTCACATTTTTTTTCTTTGTTTCCTTCGATTTCTTTTATCTTTTTCTTTTTTTTTTTTGTTTTCGTTAATTCTTTATTTTTTCTTCTTGCTTTGTCTTTTCTTTTCGAATCATTCTTTTTCGAAAATTCGACCGTTTTACAGGAGGCAGACGACTTATAAGAATTCACGTGAGCGTCGTATATACCATCATTGTTGGACGATTTTTCTCATTCAACTTCTTTCCCAGTTTCGAGGCAGCATTCATCGGTTATCTCCGATATTATATGCACTGATCTTAGAATTTAATGAATTGGCAGTGATTAACATCTCGGACAAGACTTGTTATCTTGTGTTTGTCCAAGAGATTCCTAATTACCAGTCTGATCCGCATCTAATCACCATTTATTGTTTCCATTGCCAGCATATATCTTTATAGAAAGTGTCATCTGATATTCTTTCAGTCTCGTTAACTTTTTCTATTGCCTCGAAGAGAGAAAGAAGAAAGATATACATTTTCTTTATTTCAATTGCAATTTCCAATTGCAACCATCAATCTACGAATTGTCTTACATTCGTCCTTTACAACGACGGATAATATCGATTCGTTTTGTTTATTTATCGATCGACTTTCCTATTTCCAGAGAACGACCACTAATAGAAATGGCCATTCTTCATCGATCATCTCGTCCATCATCGATTCCTCTCTTATTAATATTAAATCCATAAGAGATATATAGATATAAATGTATATATCTCTATATCTTGCGATCATATTACTTCGACATGATGGGGCCAACTTAGTGATGGCTACGTTGTCGATGATCGAATTCGATGTGGATCGTCAGGTGTGTATGGAAGAAACGCGATCACGAGGGGGTCGTATGTTTGCATGACGACCTCG